TAAGTCAAAATTATTACATTACAGCATCTTATTCCGAATTATGCTTTGCAATCCTCACAATTAAGTTTAATCGTCGGATGATATGAAAAATTCATAAACTTATATCACCGAAAACATGACTATGAGATTAAGGGTACAATAAAATATCAACAATAAATAACAACAACGGTTTTTCTGAAAAACCCGAATTGTGACCCAAGACTAAAGAAGCTTTTTGTCGTTGATTCCGAGTGCTTTGAGCCGCTCCACTTCTTCTTGTATACCTTTCAAATTCGCGTCTACTGATTCTGGAAAATCATTATTCAGTCAAACGTTCTCAGACGAATTTTCAGAAAATAATTTTTCTGTTGAATGGTGGGAAAGAAAAGAAACATATACATATAAAGAATTGAATCAGACCTTCATGCGTGGGAAGTAGCGGTGTTTTCGGCGGCGAAGGAAGAGGAGTTCGAGAGGTTAGGAGATGGGCAAGGAATCGATCGAAGTCCATGAAGGGTAGGCTGTCATGTAATGTCTCCAGAGATCGCAATGGTGGCCAGAAGCGTCTTATTTCTGAAATTGACCTCACCTATGATTAAGCCGACAACAGAACGAATAATAGGTAATGTCCCATTCCTGGAAGCCCTACCTCCTACAGAAATATCATCTTCAGCTTTGTAGGTTTGAAGACGGGGAGCACTAGAAGATCTCGCGATGACTGCTGTGGACATCACGGCAGGATTCGGTATATCTGCAATTATGCACTGGTTTTTGATAGTTCGTACTCCATAAGAAGTCACCTTGAGGGGAAAAACGCTTTTGAGATTAATACAAAGAGGTGATAGAAGAGAAAGATGTTTGACGGAGTGGTGTCTTCAGTTCAAGCCTATGTACAGCATTGCAGACCCTGAATTTCGTGCAAGAAAATATGGAGAAGGGTCCGAGCCCTAGTTTTGTTAACAGATTTTGTTGATGATGTACGAAAGGAAAAAAAAGTCATGAAACCCTTACAGAATGAAGTCAAAAGCAGAAGTTGAAACCTCATTCGAAAAAGGCATTTAATCGAGGTATTCAGTTCAGGAAGCATGTTTCGACTTGTCGGAGGATTGGATTTGGAAGTGGGGGTGGGACGAGGATGAATGATGAGTTGAAGAAACTCTCTCTACTCAAATCTAGCAAATCCCTTACTAACATCATAGTGTGCGGGCTGCGCGTCAATATAAACCTATACATGGTGTGAGGTTGTACTTTGAATGTTTGCAAAAAGCACCAACATTTGTAATGCAAAAGAAAGGATGATTTTAGTAATTTGGCGATGAAACAGTTCCTTGGCAGGAGAGTATAGTCATAATTAATAAGTCGCGACGCGCATCAACTACAATACGGCATTGGCTGCTTTCAGACTTCAACAATTCAACCGACGTTTGTCCGTTCGCCTGTCGCATGCGTGCGACGGCGGCGCTAGCCACTTATTGACAACATTGGACACCGATGGATCACGTGCTAGAGTTTTCAACAAGTGGCTAGCGCCGCCGTCGCTCACACGCACTTGACGGACGGACACACGAACGGACGCAACGAATGCATGGACGCACGTCGATTCAATCGTTGAAGTCAGAAAGCAGCCATTTTCAGTTGGCTAGCTCGCTTACTTCATAGTCGCCTATTAGTTGGCGTGAAGTATGAACGCAGCCGCTTCGTTTACATGTGCACAAGCGATAAAGTTTAAAATCATGAGAAAAACTTAAGAATAAAATGTAAATATTTGTCATCTAAGTGAATATTTAGTGCATGATGGGTTCTAAGAACATAAAGCTTCAATGAATTGAACAAAGATGTGAAAACAACGGAACACAGCAAAAAGAAAATTACAGCGATGAATAATTCTAATGAAAAGTGCTTACATGTTTGTCGACGACTTTTATCCGAATGATCACCACCGCATTTTCCCATGAGCACATTGGTGCTGATCAGGCGATTCTGGACTTCAGAACCTCCTGCAGAAAAAAATGTTAGATGAAAAATACTTGCTCATAAATTATATATGTAAAAGGCAAGACAAGATGACAGCTATATAGCAACAGTAAAGAAGAGAAAGAATGAATAGAAAGAGAGAAATTAGCATGTGTAAAGGTGATCAAGCATCTAGCATGCAATATTACTGACTGCATTTCTATGTCAATCAATCTTTAACTAACTAATATAAGAGAAGTTTAGAACTGATAATAATTACCGAAAAAAATCTAACCTGTTAGTAGATTCACAGTATGATGTTTGAATCTATACGGGAATCGTGAACGACGTGCTAGAACAAATCACAATTAGCCAAACGGTTACACTGACTAAGACTGCGCAAATAAATGGACCTCTAGTTAACTGATATTGATTACACCAGCACAAGCACCTCTCTAAGCTCTAAGCAAATAACAGACAATGGATATAACAATTCTGTCGCATTCATTTCATAACATTTGCGGCGTCTAGCCATATGCCACGCACCACGCCCATTGAATGGGCGTGCTTTCCCACAATTTTTGTTCGGCACAGTATTAGTATCCCATTGCCATCTTCGTTATACTATTATGCACATATAGACATAAAGCTCTTTGGAGGGTTGACACCTCCTAGTACAGAATTGTTGTGAATCAGTCAATAATCGATT